GGCCCACCCACGCTGCGTGGGGGGGGGGCGGGGGGGATCGGCTGGCGCTTGCAGGAGGGGCACTAGTGCTCCTGCCTGCCCCCGCCCAGTCTATTGCTTAAGTGGCAAGCACAGCCAATCGGCATACATGTGCACCCCCTACGCATTGCCATTGCATTCATGGAATGTCCACAGATTTGTCCATTACTTCATTATGAGCTATTGAAAAATAGAACTAGGTCCACACTATACCATGCAGCTAGCTTGAGTACTGAAAGCAGTATAGAAGTGGTGCTTAATCTTTGGGCCCGGTGGGCCTGATGAATGGCACCGGGTCAGTCTGCAGGCCAAACTGAGCCCTGTATGCCAAGATTGGTCCCACACTGGTTCTCCTAGTCCCACAACCTAGGACTTCATGCTGCCCACACACACTGAGATCAGGCACTAGGGCTCTGCCTGGCCTCATGCCAGGATTGGGCCCTGGGGCCCTTACTGCCCTCACCTAGCCTCATGTGCCAGGACTGAGTCCTGCACGCCTAATCCAGGGTGCAGGGCCACACTATCCAGCCCACTTCCCATGGATCCAGGTATTTGTCAGCAGGGGAGAGATGGCACCTCTCCTGCTGCTGAATTTCCAGACCAGTAGGGAGCCCCCAGGGCTGGATAACACGGGGCCAGATCTGGCCCATGAAGCAGTAGGTGAGCTCCTTTGCAGTTATCATGGGGTTCTGCAGAGGCTAATTTCCCTGCTGCTTGCCCCCTTGCTGCTGCTGCTTTGCTTGCTACAGCAGTGACCATACAAACTTCACAATCTTCCAGTAACTAGTTTCTATACAAGGAAAACTATAAATTTTGTAATAATTTAATTATTGAGGAAATAGCTTTACATTTGAAGTAGTCTAAGATTCTCATAAATACAATATATCTTGTATCTTGGTAAGAGATATCTTTTATATTTTACAATATGTAACTTTTGTCAGGGATAGGACCAGATGCCTCCAGTGGTCCCTTCCAGTCCTGCTTTTCTAACACAAATTTACCTGCAGGCATGACTGACTCATTCTCAGCCTAAAGAGTTGAAGTAATGGGTATCTTTCAAAAAGTTGCAATCTGTATAAAACAAGTTACCATCTGATGCAGAAATGACTATGTGAGAATTTGTAGCCTCTGTCCTGTGATTTAATCAATAGGTTAAGTAAGAAAATAAATCTACTAGTACGTTTTTTCCACCAGGGAGAAATGACTAATTTCAGTGCTATTCCCCATTATAAATAAAGGGTGCACCTCTCTGATGATGATATTACCATGATCTTGTGTAGTACTTTTCCTTTGTAAATATCAAACTCCTTTACAAAAGATGCCAAAAGAAAACTGAGGGAAGGGGAGAAGTGATTTGCCAAAAACCCCAGAGGTCTCCTGAGTCTCCAAATCCTATTCCTTTGCCCCTTTTTTTAACCTTTCCATGTGTGTTTCTTACCGTTCCCGTTCTTTGATTTATTTTTAACGTCTGTTTCTGTTCAAGTTCATTCATGACAGCTGAGATAATCCTTTCTCCATCTTGTATACTCGGAGCAGCTTTATTTATCAGACCCATATTCAAAGCTCTCGTGACTGTAGGTATTTGGATTCAATGATTTCCCAGTCTTTTCAACTTTTTGTTGCCTTGTTTCTGTTATCAAGTGAACAACACTTCAGTGACAGATTTTAGGATGCATAGGTAGCTGTTATCCATATACTCAATTATACCTACTAGACTGACCACATCACCCCACCCATCCTCCTGTTTTTCTTGAAAAGATTCTGTTCAAAATGGCTCTGTATGTAACACCCTCTATACATGTGTTTTCAGCCTACATCATGCATGTGGTCTCTCTCTTAGGGCTGTGCGAAATTTCAACCACAGTTTCATTTTGGCAGTGTTTCGACGCCCAAAAATCTGAATCTGAAATAAAACGGGAGACATCTTCAAAAAGTTTCGCCTTGTTTCATTTCAAACGTTTCAACACATTTCGGCATTTCAAAGGTGTTTTGAAGCTGGGCTTGCAGGGAAAGAAAGTAAGAAGAGGGAGAGGGAGGAGGGGGGAACAGACTGACGTCTGTAGCTGGCCAGCGTCTGCCACAACTCTCTCTGAGGTCCCTTCCAATCCTAGTGATCTGGGGGAGGGACCTGAAAAGTTTAAAAACAGCATATAAGCCTGTGAGTGCCTAAGCTGTTGCCAGCCTTTGGTTTCTTTACTATTCCTTCCATCCAGGAAGAGAGCACACACCAACTGCAGGTGCTTCCTCAGCCCGATGAAGGGTTTTCAACCCAAAAGTTTGCTATTCTATATTTCTCCAACTATTCAGTTAGTCTACTAAAAGATATCAGATTGACCCAAAGAACTTTGTCTGCCATGTCCTTAGATCAACATGGGTACAACCTATACCTGTCCCCGGTCAGCTGATTGGAAGGAGGCAGGGCTCTGGTCACATCTAAGCCCCAGGACTGGGGCTGGCAGGGAGAGTTCTCTGGCAGTTGCTGGAGAAGAAGCTCCTGCAGGAAAGAAAAGAGGCTCTGTGACAGTTTGGCTGCTGAGATGCTAGTGCTACTGTGCTGCTTACCTGTTGGCATTTAAAGTGGTGGACTGGACTGAGGCTGTAGGGGAAAAGGAGACCGCATTGGGGAACACTACCGTGTTGGGTAGAGGCCCCAGTGCCAGTGAGGGCGCAGTGACAGGGGCATAGAGAGCCCAGCAACAATAGAAGGTAGAGTAAGATCAAGACCTCATTACAGGGACAATATCGATATACTACCTGCAAGGCATAGGGTGTGGTAAGGGATGGTTGGAGCCACACAATTAGCCCATAAGGCTTAGGGTATCCCCTTGGGGCACCTACTTAGAGTGGGTCCCAGCAAAGGGTCCAAGAACCTTCAGGGTTTAGTACAGTCCATTAGGACCATGACTGAACTGAAGCTCGAGGGCAGCCTCCTTATCTGTTGTTTTTTCCAACAAGACGTGGCAGCAGGTGAGAAGAGAAGGTGCCCACAGGGCAGAGCAGGCACGGTCACGGGGCCCTAGGGACCATGGCCATCTCTAGGGACCCTACTCTGTGACTAAATGCAGTTTCCCAGAAACTTGGCAGGTTTCATGCCCCCAGAAGGGGCTGCCATTCCTACTACTTTCATCAGAATCGGGCAAGAAACGACAAAGTTATAGGCATTTTAGTCATTCCCGATTATAACCTACGGTCAAAACACCAAAACAGCGTCCAAACAATGTCAAAACTTGAATGTTTCAGCTGAAACAAAATGAAACAGCAATTCGAAATGTCGAAATGAATCGCTGTCCTGTTGAAACGCCAAATCCGAAGCCGAAACAAAACGGAGGCATTCCGCACAGCCCGACTTTCTCTACTTCTCTTACTGCTTCCACTCATCTGCTGCTGGACTCCTCTTTGTCCCTTTGCAGTCTGGCCACAGCTAGTCTGAGGTCCTTCTCTTTTGTAGTGTCTGTCTACAGGAATGCATTACTGTGTATCATTAATTTTTCATCTCGCTTGAAATCTTATCTCAAATTCTTATTCTTTGTCTTCTAATCTCCTATGTATGTAACTTTAAATATATGTAAAGTTATATATTGTAAAATATAAAAGATCTCTCTCTCTCTCTACAAGATATATTGTATTTATGCTTCTCATTTTAACAGTTAATAATTTAAGAAATGTAAAGCATCTCTAGGAGAGAGTTTTATGAAAGAAGATACTATATAGGCAGTCCTCAGACTTACAACACAATTGGTTCCTGAAAACCTTGTCTTAAGTTGATATGTTGTAACTCGGAACCAATTTTCTCATAAGAAACCATGTAATAAATGGGGTATTGGTTCCTGAACCAAGGCCCGATTACCCTATTTTCACCAAAAATACCCTAGCATTTTGTACTTGATCAATTATAGATGAATAATATAGTTACATTAATATATTTATATTGTAAATAGCAATCATATTGATTTGGAAGGACTTCTTTGAGGTGACTTTGCTGGACTTTTTGAATGGTTCTTGGCTGGAGTCTTCTTAGAGTCTTGGCTGCAGGTTTTTCTGGAGTCTTGGCTGCTTTCTTAAAGAAAGTGTCCAAGGAAGTTTGGACAGATGTTCTCCAGGGAGATAAGTGATGCAGCGAACTTGCTCACTGGCATGGTATTGCATCGGATCAAGCGTTGCAAGTTGAAACTGGCGTTGTAAAGTTGAAACAGGGTGTCAATTTATAAATGTTGTAAGTGCGAAACATTGTAACTCGAAACGTTGTAAGCTGAGGACTGCCTGTATACACAAGCACATTCCACTGTATTATATAAGCGACAAAGAGAGCTGTTGCAGCAGCACAAGAAATGGACTGCTGCTACTACTACGTTCAAAAGAACTACTTGCTCCATTCCCTTGATTTCTCTCTCCTTTATCAAAAAGCTGATTTGATTTAACTACTTTATTTTGTTCTTGGTATAGATAGCTAAGTAAAAGCAGTCGATTGCTGTGGTGCTGATATTTATTGACTGATGAAAGATAGGCCTGTCATGGTGGCTCATGTCTGAAGTGCTCAGTGACAGACGGACCCCTCACTTTTAAAGAGGTAGTTTTGGTGGAGTCCTTGCATTGCCAGGTGGCTGTTTTGTTGTATGACTGATATTTAGAAGTTTTTTTTTTTCCACAGGATGAGTACCTGCAGCCATTTGCTGTTAAGCAGAAAACTGAAGCAGTATTCAGTTACAGCCTGAGGTCATCACTGATTTCACTGGAGATGTAGTCTAGTTTTACAAAAATATTACTACAGAAACGGAGCTTGGGCCACAACAAACACTATATTAGCCCATTTCTCCCTCTGCTCCAAGCTGCTTACAGCTACCTTGAAGGTGTGCATGTCTAAATCTATAATCATACATTACTGTCAGGGCACTTTGCTGGGCTCTTACATATTTTTTAAAGTCTCTTGGTGTGCACAGCAGATCCAGTGTGCGCTCATCGTGGCTTAGAGCCTGCCCTGGTAAAGTAATTTCTTGGCTGACAATACCCTCTTTAGTCCGTTACAATCTCAGATCAAATTCTGTCTTTCATAGTGGATACATATTGCTTCCAATGGGAAAACTGAACCTTACCAAAGATCAATCAAGCAGTCTGAGGTGACAGTGAACGTTCAGCGTCACAACCTGAGCAGCTGCCCTCTGGACATAGCAATTTCAGCTAATATTTTCCTGAGCTCTTGTACCCAGGTTGCCATATGATTCAATTAAATTTAAACCTCTATTGGCTCCAAGGGGACAGAAATTTAACTCTGTGTCCAGTTCCCTTTGGCTGATGTGCAGAATGCTGACCTGAACCTGACCTCCTTCAGAGCAGTGAGAGTTTTCATCTGAAAATCTATATAAACTGGATTTTTTTATTAGAAATGAAGCATTCTCTGCACTTGCTGCAAGGACTAAATCAATATTCATTACTGCTGTATCACGGCCATGTATTCTGCTCATTTCAAAATATTATTTATACAATGCTAACGATTGGCCAGACACTGGTTGGAGCTGCAGTAACCTGGTTTCCAGGACTTGAATACACAGAGGACTCAACACTTCATACAACAGTTTATGAAATGGTTCATGGCTAGATAGCCAGATTCTCCATTGGTGTAAATTGGCCTTGATGTCAATTGAGTTATGCTGACTTACACCTGCTCCGTGTCTCTGATCTTCTACTGTAAGAATACATTTTACTGTAGAGTAAGAAACACTATCTTGCTGGAGTCCATTGTTCTTGTTATATGATTTCTATGTGGAAAAGTAATCCCACTTCATTTTTCTGAAACTGTCATAGAACAGTCCATATTTTCCAGATGACTTTGGTAGGGACAATGCTGTATTTTGACTAATTTTTAAGCAGTCATTGGGATTAAACTAGATCCTTGATGCAGGTTCACATAAAAGCCACATCCCTCTTGCCATTTTGCCCCCACCTCTTTCTATGGTATCCAGCCAGTTTGCTCACCTATCCTGTACGTAATCATGCCTAATCTCTTCTGTTGTTATGAGGATTAGATCCCTGCAGGCACCTGACAACACTGCATCGTTAGTGACTTAGCACTTTCACTTCAAGTTAGAAGGACTTCTGGGACCTTTTCCTGTGGCCCTCCAAGCAGAGAGACCCAGGGAAAACATGTGCCCATGCTCAGCTCCTCTTACACTTGCATGCTAAAATGCAGATGATGATGAATGTCCACAGTGATAATGGATGGAGAGAGTACATGCTCCGTATGCCACAGTGCTCTCTCACTCTCCATACTGTTCATAATCTCCATCCAATACTCCTAAATCAGGCAAGATATCAGATTAGTTTTATTTTAATTGTTATTAATTGATAATTAAAAGAAAAACGGCTTTTTCAATAACTTGTTTTTAATTCTGGGCATTTTTAAAGCTTTTGAAAACAAGAAATTAGCTTTTTCCCCTTTGTCTGGTAGAGAGTAAGAAAAACAGGTAGTCAAAATTGTATAGAGTATAAGGACTGATCAAAGAAACCCAGCTTGAACTGAATAACAAGCTAAGTAGAATTTTTCTGAATTCAAGAGGCCTAGCCTCTAGTGAATTCTGACATTGCCATAAATCTCCACCAGATTAGGCTACTGCTGATTGACATAAACATATGTTGCAAATATATACTGAACATTTGTTATAAAATATGAAGAAAGAGGTAGCTAAGAGATGCACATCCTGTTCTGTACACTAAATGTAGAATTCCCAAAGGGATACAGAAATTGCACAATATAAACTACATATATATTACTTTTTCTGGGTTTTGATAGCTGGCCTATACAGCAATTGTGGGCTGAATTTCTTATTTGCAGCTGTCTCCAGGCCTCTCTCGTCCTTATCATTAGTGTTGCCTTGAATTACTCTGCTCCTCCACTCTGTAATTACTGACCCTGGCTAGAGCAGATTTGTGTGACGGTGAAGGTGTTGGCAGGGAAGGGAACAGAAAATGATAGGCAGATATGGATGTTTGTGTTGCTATGGTAAAACTGGCTGTGGGGACAAGTTAAAAAAGAGCAAAATATAAAGCAAGGAAGTGAGGTACAGAAGTGCAGACCCTTTGTCCAATCAGTTCCTTTCTGCTCATCATTCAAGTTAAAAATTTACCCTTGTTTTACTCCCTATTTATCACCAAACCATCATTGTTCTCTCATTTCCCTGTGATGGAAGTATGACAGGGGCAGCATATTCAGCCTTGAGTTGGAAAGTGGTGCCTCTCAACAATTTTTAGTTGCCAGAGTATATGTGATCATGGATCAAACATGGTAAGCATCCCAAGGAAGTAAGAAGCTTAGTATATGAAGACAAGAGCAGAGGGAGACTGGATGGAGATGGAATGCAGTACCAGAAGGGTATATCCTGTTTCTAGGATACATATGGTTGTATAGGCTTTCTGGACTTTTTTGTTTAGTTTTGCTGGGAGCTGAGGTCTTAATCAATGCTTCCATGCGATTGGAGTGCCTGGGACTTATCATTAAAACTGTGCCTCTTGTGTACCTGAGTTTGTAAGTCATACTGACTGGGTCACCACTGCCGTTGAGAACGCTTCCCCAATGGTTGTAACCTGGTAAAATAATCCGTCTCTGTAGACTGACTGTGCCTAAGCAGGCATGTTGCTCTGTTGCTTAACCCATTCCTGAATCAGTTGGTGGGCTATGGCCCACTTTGGAGGCAGCCAGAGTGAGAACCTGCCATCTTCTTGTTTCAGAGGCCTAGGTTCCCTTCTGAGTGCCTCCACAACCTCTTCAAGGCTGAACCAAGTGGCTGCTTCCAGCTCCAGTTTGTTCACTCTGATCTGGAAAAAATTCAAGAAGTGCAAAGTATTGTGAATATAGCTTTAAGAACAGCTAACTAGACCTTCATGACTTGTGTGTTACAGATTTTCTATCGATGAAAGCTAACGAGTTCAAGATTCCACTGTATTATATGACTATACAGGGAAGAGATTTCTCCCCATCTGGACCAGATGGAGGAGTGATGTTGGATACGGAAAAGGCAAGCTTAGAGCCAAAGCAGGCCCTGCTTACCAGGAATTTTAAAGCAAACACATTTCAGCACTTTGTGAAAATGAGGCTGTTCAGTAGCTTTCTCTGGTCTCTGACCAGTGCCCAGATAGTGATCTATATCCTCAGCAGCAGGCTCCACAAAATGGGCAATGACTGAATTGGAACAGAGACTGCCATAGAGGTGATCACTCCAAGCATATCATGTGGGTGGGGAAAACTAACGCTTTCACTGTCTGTAGTGTTCTCTAAATAAAGGGAAAATTTCATAGCCCACAAGTTTAGTCCAGCACCTTTCACCCGGCTGAAATCTGCTTTAAAATAATTATTTGAAACTTGATTCCAGAACATTAGAATGGCCTATATACCTTAAATATCTATCATGATGAATATATCAACCCCATGCTGTTCACAGTACATGAAAAGTCACCACTGATATTTTATAGACTTTAGTTTCTTTTGATGCAGCAGTTAGCCAGTAAGCACTATCTCATCACTATACTGACCCCTATGATGCTGGTGGATGAATGAGGAAATAAACACAGCCAAATTTAGTAAGCTCCTTTGACAACAAGACACAAAATCAAAGATGGACCTGACTATGGAGTTTGGATTTGATTCGTACACATCTACCTTATTTTCAAACAGGGTGATTGTCAAGCTGTTAAGAAGATCACTCATTTAAAGAAAACCAGCTGAACACTGCACTTTAAAGGATGTGGCAATTTCCAAATACAGTGCAATGATGGTTCTGTGAACTGGGAAAAGAGACCTCACCAAGCAGTGAAGGTAATAAAATCATGGAGAACTGCTAACCTCATTCTGCTGTGGCCACACCGTAGCATGACAAGCTATCATTAGCGAGCTGTTGGGAAAAGGCCAGTGCTGAGAAGCAGAATACCACATTGACTTCACCTCCAATCCCACTTCTTCTGCCACCTCCCGGCGGACAGTCTCCTCCAGTGTCTCACCTAGAAACACTCAAGTTAATTATGAACAACCTTGTGTCATCTCAAATAACAATGGCAAGATTTCCCTTGGGAAGGAAACTTATACCTCATGCCACACAAAAAAATGGAGGGATAAATCTGTATTTTCTTGAATACAACACACCCCAGAATAAGATACATACCTTGTCTTTTGAAAGCAGAATGAATTAAAAAAAGGATATTTCCTTGCAGTAAGTAACTGAGTAAGCAGCAGCCAGGGAGCCAAGCCTGATCACTGTTGTGCTCCCTGTAGATCAAGTGCAGCCTTTACTTTCTCTTTTCCCTAGTTATTCCCTAACATAAAATGCACACCCCTACTTTCATCAACCCTGGGGTTTTTTTTAAAGGTGTGTGTTGTATGTGAGAAATTTGGTAATTTCTGAAGACTTTCAGGTCTGATGAAATTCAGCACGTTGGATCATTCTGCAAATATGTCTTACAATGGGACACAATATCAGATCTACCAAATGTATTTAGTTCTCTTATAATTTGCTTTCTGGGTGCCAGGGACCTGAGATACACAGATATCAAGGTGACAGTAACCATATTAAGTATGTAAGTAAACAAAATAAGCTATGCTCACCTTCTTTCGTTTCAGTTTTGAATAACTTTCTACCAGAATCATCAAGTCCACATATTTCCATGTAATACACCCAACCTATACTACCCCTGCAAAATGGATATTAAAAGTGTTCTGAAATTTTAACTCATAGGTTTCATACTTGTATACATGAACAGAGACTGGAATAGGAGGTCAATGCTGATTAATCCTGTCTTTTTTACCCCATTTTATAGCCCCTTCCTCTCTCCAAATATTTTCAGCTATTTCACACTGCTGGTTGAACAAGGCTGTTCTTGTAACATCCTCCCCTTTTTTCAGAACACCACATTTGTGTTTGAGCTCCATGGAACCGCACAGCAATAGGTCTGGCTGGTCTCCAGACTCAAAGTCTCCCACAATGCTGGGTCAGAGCTCTTCTTACCAACATCACAGAAGCCTGCCAGAGCACTGTACATCCCCTGAGGGAACGACGCCTGCCGTGCAAGAAGACACCGGCTCCCATCAGACACCAAAGTGATAACTACTGGGGACATCTAGAGAACATGCCAAACAGTAAAGCAAGTGGGAATCAGAGGTCAGACAAATCAACTACTCCATGAAAACAACAGTTATGAGAACACAGGCTGTTTCAAGTGCTACTGCTTCTGCTTAAAGGTTTTGAGACACTGGACAAGCAATAAGGAAAAAGTATGCAAGTCAATATAGGCAGCTTTTGATCTTGCACTTACAAATTCCCACATATTGCGTGCAGCAATTTTGGCTTGTGTGTTATTTGTCTTGCTGTAGAGATGATTACCTGTGGATAATAAATTATTCCATTGGTGTGACAAACACGCTTGCTGCCAGCAAGGTTCTTCTGAGTAGGCTGGCCAGTTTTGCTGCAGTATTTGTGTGTGTCATGCCAGCGAAGGAGAGCTTGAGCCTATAAGTACAAAACATAAATACAAATCAGTTTGAATAGGTGATTTGAGCTCACTTAGTGCAGTCATTACATCCTTCCGCGGTCTCTTCTAGCCCTAATGTCTAAGAAATCTATGAAATCCTCTGTGAGTAATACTTTGCCGTTCTCTCCCTACAACATGTCCATGTGGATCAAACACTAGTTCAACAGGTCAGAAAGCCCTGGAAACTCACGTGAAAGAAGCTGTTTTGAAAAGTGGATGCATCCACATTCAAGCTTTCAAGCTCGTTATTTCTCCCAGTGACTAGCAGAGGAAAAGAACAAGGAAAAAAATCCACACTGGGATTTGATTTAACAGAAACAGTACATAGCATCTAAGTATTCTTTTAAGTTGATCTGCCATCTGCTACTGCACACATGCCACTGGGCAGAATGTGGAACAAAGAGGCTTCCAAAACCAATTAGGATGTCTGCAGAGTAATGGCTTAAAGAGGAGCAATTTAAATATAATAATGCAGAAAGAACACCACACTTTCCCCTTTCAAATGCCTCCTACCACTCACACCTGTGAGATTTACAGAAAACTGCCACCTAATAGTAGTTATGCAAGTTGCGATTACTGATGCTGACTGGCTTGGAAAACATACGGACTGGACACAGACCTGGCCCATGTTAAAGCAGCTTATTACCGCTGTCATTGGGCGTGTCTACATGAGCTGTTCACTACAGTTGACTAATTAGCTCTGCGGTAAACATGTCAGTGTCTACATGTGCTATTAGGCTGGAGTAAACTAATAAACTCTGCAGCAGCGTAGTACTTGTTGTGCGGGCCGGGAGCGACCTGAGCCCTTTTCGCGCTGCACGCGGGCTGTGGCCAGCAGCCCGGGCACGCCGGGGCGGAGAGGTAAGGCCTTCGAGCTGGAATTAGGCACGGACGCGTAGCGGTAGTTTAAAAGATTGTTTACTTACACTGAGATGGCAGTGGTGTAGGCTGGAAAGCTTGCTTAAGTTGCGGTTACAGAGAGAAAAGAAAACAAAACTCTAACCTGCAGGGCACGAGGGTACGTCGCAAAGGGTTCCGGCGACGGGAAGATGAAAAATACGAGGGTACGTCGCAAAGGGTTTCGGCGACGGGAAAATAAACCTGCAGGACTCGAACCCGGGTAGAAGAGCTCTGGAGTCGTCCGGCAAGGACTCACACGAAGTTTGCTAGGCTCCGTGGGTCCGGTTCATTTGCGCGCAGGAAGGGATACGTCTGGGAATCTATCGGTGACGGGGAGAGGCTGGAGGTTGATCAGACCTCTGTTGCCTACTTGAAATGCGCTGGGTCCGTAAGGATCCGCAGCGCTTAGAGATCTTCACACAGCGTGAAGTCTCCTCCTCCCTTGTTCATGGAGTCCTCCAACTTGGGCGGAAACCACTCAAGCCTTTTATACGGCTAGCAAGCCAATCACTAACCGCCACATGTGAATAATTTAGAACTGGCCAATAATGGGACTCGAATTAGCATACAAATGGCGGGAACTCTTTGCAACGAGCATTTCTGTGCTGCAACAAAGAAATGCACCCTGCAAAGAAAGCTTCAAATTGGCGGGAAATTCTCCCTTGCACCGGGGTTCTCTTTTGCAGCAGAAAACTCCACCATGCAAGGAAGCTGCAATTTAGCAGGGACAATTTAGCAGTGCCGAAGCACACAAAAACAAAAATCACACCCTTTGGGTTGTGACACTTGTAAATAAATACATGTAAATATTTGTAAATACAAGTACTACCCTGCTGCGGAGTTTATTATTCTGCAGCAGTACATGTATAGACACCGGTGTGGCTGGCTGAGGCAGAAGGATGCTACAGTTCAGGGCTGCCTGCCAGCTAGCCCTGCACTGGAGCACCCTTGTGCCCTAGCCAGCCCCTCTGTAGCATGCTGAGCTGAGTCAGAGCAGTCCTGGGCTGGCAGGCTGACCCCTTGGGCCCCTGCCAGCTGGGGCTGCTTCAACCCAGCTCAATGTGCTGCAGTCCTGGGCACAAGTTCAAACAACATGTCTGGGAGCAATAAACTCCAGCGCAATAAGCACTGAAGTTTATTACTCCACATTAATTGCACATGTGGACATGCCCATTCTGTCCTCTTTCTCCAGCTACTCACTTGTTTGCTTCACCCACCTATTATATCTTGCTTTTCAGATTGTAATGTCTTTGGGGAAGGGCCTGCCATTTACAACATGTTTGCACACTGCCTAGTGTAATGTTGAGGCTCCTAGATACTTCCACAGTATATTTTAAATAATTAAACTAATGACTGAGAATGAAAGGAATGGTGTCAGCAATCATAACTTCCATAAGTAAAATAACCTATATCATACCAAGGACAGCAAGGAGGCATCCTTCCCATCTAGCTGGAAGAAAGCTTTCCATAACTCGGTAAATGATCCCTTGAGTTCAGATTCAATGTCCATTTTTTCCAAGGAACCTGGAAATGAGTAAGTCCATGTAAAACAGAAACCTCACTTGTGGCCCCAACATTATTCCTTTTACCAGTTAACCAATGTACAATTTCTACAAATTCTCATGCAACAGCTAATGACATGGGCTTATTACTAAAGAAATGACATCACATTTATAGTAATATGTTCCTAAATTGTTGTGTGACATTTCATTCCAATTTGACTATAACAGAGAAAGAAGCAATTACATTATTTGATAATTCCTGTGACACTGGAGACATGTCATAGTCACAGGACCTCCTAGCAAGAACAAGATGGGAAGAGAGAAGTTAAGACGCAACCTCTCACCCACCAAGGGCTAAATGTGCCACTTGAGAGCATCTCCAGTGTATATGTGTATGCAGCATACATACACATAGCAACCCAGTGCATCAAACATATACAGAAGAATTATTCTTACCTAAATCCAGGGCAAAGTATGCCATGCATTCATCTGAACAGCCAATCAGCACTGAATCCTCTAGTTTTTGTTTGTTCTGTTTGAACTTCTTCAGAATCCTCTTCAGTTCTAAACACCAGAGTAAAAGGGACGAATTAACTGTAATTAACTTACACTAATGCAACCATAACAATATCCTAACCTTTAAGATGCATACATTCCATGCCAATGTAATGAAGTCATATCACAGAAGTTTCCTATGGCTCTATGGCCAGGTATCTAGAAATAGCTTACTCACAATGATGTCTCATGGTGCTCCTGATAATAACTCCCCAAACTGGGTAGGTTAGTACCCATTCTAATTTCCCATTGGAGGGTAAACCTCCAAGTCAAAGGACACAGGTAAGAAAGGGTAGAACTGGGTATGTGGTGATTCTACAATTAAAGGGGTAAACACGAGAACTGAGAATCCAGATTACTCTGGACCCTGATCATGTCGAGCAAAAGGAACATGTCCCAGTGCTCTGGGGATCTACATTGTCCCTTTCCTTAAAATTACTTGTGTCACAGAGGTGACTGAATAGCTTTCCAAGAATAGTCCTTCCAGATTATGCCAAATTCCCTCCCATCGCCTAGCTCACTGGGTAGCTCACTTCCCTAACGAGCTATTATCTTCAAAATAAAAGATGGCCCACATTTAAAACATGTAAAACCACTGTCTCAGAAGACATATTAATAAATAGCTTAAACCTGTGTAGATATCCTGTACATATACCTGCAGGAAATGTGCTCAATGTACCTTATGTTCATGTCCAATGGTTTTAATTCTAAATACAGTTACTTGATGTTAATAAATCAACAAGAATACACACACATCTAGCCTAACAGATTTTCTGATTTGGTATTATGATGGGTCTCAGACAGAGACACAAAGAACAGGGACTTATCAGTCGATATGGTATCAACTGAAATATAGTTAATGGAAGAAAACTGACTACATCATTTGAGATGGTTAATACATGAAGGTGTTAACTGCAGAGAACCTGCATACCTGATGCACTTATCTGTGGGGCCAAATGTTTGCTTCCAACTTTTTGCAGGAAGGGGAAGAGATTGTGAAAGAGGTAGAAAGTTCCTGAGTTCTGGGCTTGCCTACAAAGGCCATCATCTTCCTTTAGCTCAAATAAGTATCTGCAGGTAGAAAGAATCAGAATGTTCATTGCATGATTTGGTCTAGATCAGAGGTAGGCAACCCATGGCATGTGCACCAGAGCATGACAAGCAAAGGCATTTTGCTTGGCACGTGTGCCTCAGGGCAGACAACAGGGAAGGGGCTGGGGCTGCCCTGTCACAATAGCTCCCCCTCCATCCACCCCTCGCACACCAACATCTTACACATTGAGGTTGTGGGTGTTTTTGGCACTCTGCCCAAAAATGTTACCAACCTCTGCTCTAGATCACTGAGTACCACAGGCTCAGTTTGAACAGAGGAATGGGATAGAATTGTGACAGGCACCTGCCCTCCTCATGGTGATGCCAGTGTCCTCATGGCAGGTCTGTGGGTGAGTCAGCCAGCACCCTGCAGCCAGAAGGAATTCTGCTGGTTGGCTAGGGGCCCTGAAGCCTTGAGGTTCAAAGGAGCCTGGGGACAGAAATGTGAGGAGAGCACGCCGGAGTGCTGGAAGCGGAGCCAAAGTCTCTCTCCATGGCCAGAAGAGACCCAGTGCCTCCTCTCAGGGCCAGCATGCCTGGAGAAGCAGCACGCATGTCTCACTGCTGATGCACCTGGGGAGAACTCAGACATGCTCTCTGTGACTGATGGAAGTGAGTTGTTCTCCCCAGGGATGAGCTCCCTGAGAAAACTCAGGAAGCCTTGGTCACCAACAGTGCACTGGGGGTTAAATTAGGTTAACTGAGCGCCAGTTTAACCAATGTGGCCGGCAAGCCGTGTAGCCCAGATCTAGCATTGCTCTCTGGCACCTGCAGGGGACCACGTAGAAATACACAGGTCAGGTGGGACTAGGAGAGGGAAGCCCAGTGGGCACTACTGGCATCCACCAAGGGAAAAACCCAGCACAGAGCCCCCCTGGCACCGCACATCCTGACAGAGCATCCATGGGCCCAGAGTGCACCAATGGGGGACTGGCAGCACTAAGCTTTGTGTAAGCACAGCAGGGCATGTCCCAAAGCATTGCCATACCTGGCCTGGCGGAAGGATGAGAAGAACCTGGACCAGAAAACCCACCCACCAGGAGGCACCATAAACCCAAAGAGTACAGGGGGTTCACCCATCACTGAGGCACCTACACGCATAAGGAAAGCACTCAGTGCAGGGGCAACATTGTCCTGCACACCATACTGGCTGAACCATTTAAGCTGGATTTTCAGTTGTGTTGTAGTTTTCAAAGAATACAGGAGACCAGCAAGCCCCGCTATGGCTGCCATTCTCACCAGGCCCCAGCACAGGAGGGGAAGGCCCCATCATCACACCTGAGCTTTACCTAGGCTGATCATAACACCTGAGTGGAAAGGGGTGTAGGGAAGGAGGAACCCCACGGATGTGTCAATAGGGTCGCCCTGGACCCTACAGGAACCACTGATTACCACCTCCAGAGGCAAAACCCAGTTGTCCCAGGGGGACAGTCACCAGGGGACAGGAGACCCTTCCCACAGTAGGGCTCGGGACTGGGACAGCCCATCCTTACAAGAAAAGCCCTTAAACCAGGGCCAACTTACCAGGTTCAGACCAAGGAGAGGGAGATGAGCCATGCCGGCATGAGACTCCCGCATGGTTTGTGAGCTGCGCTTATTTCTGGATGGACCTGGCACAGGCGGGTGACGTCATCCCAGGACACCGCCTGGCCGGAATAAAAGCCAGCACTGGGAGAAACACTGGGGAGGCACTATGGGGAACGGATGACGAGGGTGCTTCCCACGCTCTGTGCAAACGGCACCGGTGTGCACCTGGGACGGAAAGCTGGATCCACAAGAGGGGTCCTCAGCAAGAGAGAGGAACTGGGACGATGCCAGGGGACAGCTGGGACCACCAGCATCATATTTGGGAGTGGGGATGGGTCACGGCCCTAGCCCTTATTCTGCTGTTAAAGTTTTTTCTTTTTTTCCCCCTTTTTTTTCCTTCTGCTGGGGACGGCCCGGAGAGGAGGGCTGGAGCATGGACGGCACAGGAGCAGCTGGAAAGCCACGGCAAGCAGCCAGGCACAATTAAAAACACAGCAGAAGAGCGGGGCAGCTCAAAGATGCCCCGAGGACACAGTGACTGGGAGGAATCAATTGTAACCCAGTCAACGAGGGGAGCGGAGAACACCAGAGGGTGAGCCGCACTGACGCCAATTGGCTGTCCTGGAGGCTGAAACATGGATGGGATGTAGGGGAGGCGGAGCCCCACAGATACCCACCAAGGGTTGCAGCCAATCTGAGGGAGTCCACAGGAGGGGAGCCCACCACTGAAGGTACAATTGAAGTCATGGCAGACGAGTCTCTGGGATTTCCCCGGGATGACCACGGACCCCTTCAGAGGTTGCTGGAACCTACACAGCAGCCAACACCCGGTGCACATGCCAAGGTGGCACACAAGCACATTCTCGAGACCAGGTAGGCACACCAGTTTAAACAGTAAGTCATGGTGGGGGAGTAGACCCAGGTGCAATGTAGTTCCAGTGGGCAGGGCATGCCCATCAGCTGGTACGGTGGTCATGAGACTGTCACAATAATATTTCATCCTTTTCCTACTCCAAATATTTCCAAAGCTTCCCCAAGCCAAGTGCTTGTTACTGGTGGGGAGAGGCTTGAACTTTGGATATTATTGTAAAAAAAAACTGCAATTCAGTCTCTGAAACAAACCTTTTACTTGATACGTACAATCATGTGTCCAGAAATAAAGCTTAAATCTTACTAAAACTTAAAGAATTCAAAGCAGCTGTGAATCTTGCTCATATTTATGTTATTTCTCAAGTTTTGAGGTCTTTAAGTCATGATTGACTGTCTATACTAACAAGGAAAGTTGGGTACATCTTAAGTTTGTGAACATGACTCTTATTTTGAATTATTAGATCACTGATCAATATAAGTTCTCATTGATATCCCAATTCAAAAGATCAAGCTCAAGCCCTGAACAAGTACACCACATATTGCGTTATATGCGTACCAAGCAAAGCTGTCCTATTTGAGAATGGGTATCAAAAGTTTTTCCTTCAAACTGTTTGAAGTGATATTAAAAATGACTATCCAGCTAGTATGACCACTGTTAAATTAGTTCAGCCATATTTAGGAGCATTCTAGAGCATTCTTATATCTGACAGACTTTCCAGCCGTTGGTATGAGCATGCATATACCTGAATCCAGCACTAGGACAAGTTTTTAGCCCCTGCTGAAGGGGGCTAAATGTTGCTGTAGACAATAAGCAAGGCCATGCAGTTCATTTTATTATCATCAGACTACACTGGATTAGTAATACAGAGTTTTAGCAGAGATAATCATAAACATTTGATACAAGAATACCGAGCTCTAGCTTCCCCACTGAACACAGTTCAGACAAGAACTTACCGCATTTTTCTAACGTAGGTAGAGTGTAGCCTGCACCACAGAAAGGAAGCTCTTCTGTATACGGCTTGATAAAGCATAGCCATGTTCAGCTCTTGAGAGAAGCTCCCTCTGCCTAAAAGGATGTAGGATGGATGTAGTGTGATGAATCTTCACAAATGGGTTCTATATAAAGGAAGCTATGACCCAAACAAATAAGAAATATCTCAGACTCTGAGAGGATCTGCTTTCTATGTTATTGTTCAGTTTGGTCTTAGGCTCTGTCCATGCATAAAGAAACTTATTATCACAGTTCTAAATATTTTTAGACAGTTCCAAGACGGTTCAAGTTTACAGATGTGTTTTGTGTCTGTCAAAGAGGTCTTGCAGAAATTGCTACAGACTAAGATAAAAATGTGTGCTGTCTGAACTTGCTTTGTTATAAAGATAGTAACGTTTCCTACAGAGAGCCACTCCAGCTCATTCAAAGGCACACGGTACAGCAGCAACCTGGAAAACTATTGGGAATCCAGTGCTGTCACAGAAGAACAAAAAACAAAATTACAGCTGCAAAGAAGATTTTCCCATGT